CTGCCCCCCCCGCCTACCCCTCCGCCACCATCTGCCACCTATCGGTGTTCACCCCGATTCTCAACCCCCCAGCATGGGCCCGGCGACTCGAACTCATATCGACAGGCCGAGTAGGACAGTCAGGCGGCAGAGGCACTACAGAAGATGTGACTACCCCGGCCCAACATCGTCAACTCAAAAGAAGCACTGGGTTCTGTGAGTTCACCCAGGGAAGACATCGGAATTTTGAAAGCCGCCCAAGATGACAACGGAAGACAAGGGCTACACGATAGCAGAAGGGAACGGTGACCACACTCCCCTTGGTACAGGGGCCAAAGAGGGAAAAACACACCTTTCCTTACTCTGCAAAGACTTCCTACGGCATCAGCTTTCAAGTTCATCGACCTCACTACTCTCTGCCATTGCTAAACACAAAGGGCCCACAAAGCCCTGCCAGCACAAGACCAGCACACCTGCCCTCACCATGACTAGGGCGGGACAAGTAACGGGAAGGATAGCAAATCCTGCCAACATATGCTGGTTGTCCAAACATTTGTCAGTCATTGTTATGCCTTGTAATATGAGGGACGCTGGACCCGGTTTCCAGCAGGTGCAGCTCCCCACCAATAGATAGAGCCTTCAACTGGGGAGCCACTTCAGGAGGTTGCTCTTAAGCTGGCCCAGGCCAGGGGTGTGAGCTACACGTGCGTGGTATGCCTAGTGATAGGTCGTGCCTGAAAGCAGCACGCGAAAAGTCGAAGAACGGCTTCGATGAAGCAGAGGGTAAGGTTAGGATAACGGACTTGATACGAGAAGCCGATCCCATTCCGGGCAATACGTTACTGTCCGCGTCTCAAGCAGGCGGCTGGCCATCTTGATTAATAAAATAAGATTGCCCAAGAATAAAGTGCGGGCCCGCTGACGTTTACAGAGTTGAGCCTGTTCTGGCGAATTTGGAGTCACTTTCGGATCAAAGCGTCCTACAGTTAACCCGTATTTTATATAATACTATACGTGGGGAAGCGCGCGAACGTACGCTGTTTGTTATACTCAAAGGCTCAGGAAGGAGTCCACTATAATATAATGCCAGAAATCTAAGATCAATTTCGGACAAGTTGCTTATAGAGTTTAGATGGTTGCACTTCGTGCCTAAAGGCAACCCAAAAGCAAACATAAAAAGAACTGCGGGAAAATCAATTTTGCTTCGGGACTGGTTTCGGAGCTCTCCCATAGTAGTCCCCTCCTGTGGACCCTCTGTCAACCACAATGAAGGGGAGCAAAGTATCTGGGGGGTTCCAAATTCTCGTTTGCAGATGCGACCATGAAATCGAACGTTTGGAGGCCATCAAGGCCGACTCTCAAATTTGCTTTATGATAGACAAACAGGGCCATGTGTTTCAAACCACCAGTACTTGGCCCATATATCAGCCGCGGGCCTTAGCGTTAACGCTACGCGAAGTTCGCGCTTCAGGCAACCGGACCTGGAAGGCTGGCGCCGCCAGCCTTTCCGAAAACCAAAATCGAATGGGTGCTTCGGCGGGAAACGGCGCGCAGGGCACTTCCAGGCTGGGCTGCAATAGCTGGGCCAAGTACTGGTGGTTTAACAATAACAATTTGTATAGAATCTTCGTTCAAAAACAAGTACACCAATCTATACTAAAAAACTCTTTTCAAAATGAAGTTAAAATACACAAAATCATTCAACTTATGAAAACTCAACATTGGTCAGCGCTGAGTTTGGAAGAAAGATACATCATTAGCCAAGTCATTCATTGAAATGCTCATATCACTCCCCCAATTGGTCATCGTCTGTCTTGATGACGTTGGTATTGGTTTCGTTTGCGTTCATACTTTGAACGAACTCTTTGTGTGCTTGCTCAGCGATTGTGCTGCATGATTGCTTGGTAATCATTACATTGATATCACTTACCATATCACTCCCCCTAGCGTGGTTGCAGGGGTTCAAAAAAAAAAAAAAAAAAAAAGATTATGGATGCTCATTGGGCGAAAGTGTTGTATAATATAGGACGCTCAACCCGTTTTCCGGCGAGTGAAGCCCCCCACCCACGTGGTATCCACAACTCGTTTTTTTTTTTTTTTTTTTTTTTTTTTTTTGTGGTATCCACAACTTGAAGACAAGCAACTACTCTCACGCCTGTCAAGCAACTACTGATAGCAATCAGCGCGGCTGTCTCAGGGTCCCTCTAGCATAACAGAAGTGAACGTCGAGTGAGTGAGTAAGGGACAGTGGGCTATGTTTCCAGCTTTTGTAATGAAATTCCTTTTCTAAGTTTTCATTGTAAGTTTGTAAAATAATTTAAAATAATTATTAAATAAATAATTGTTGTGCCAAGATAAACTGAAAAAGCTTCAGGTAACCAATTGGCATAGCTCAGTTGGTACACCCATGGACTTTCGAAATGAAGACCTGAGTTCGAATCCAGATACAACTAAATGATGAAATTCATGAATTACCTGGGGTCAGTCAGTTCCGCCATAATATCTCAAGGTTGTCACCTTAAAAAAAAAAAAAAAAAAAAAAAAAGGACAAGCTAAAGATAAGTAAATTCTACTGAT